CGGATAAATGGAGCACTGGCCTCCTGCAATTCGCCAGTGCCGTCCAACGCCCACGGCGCGAGCGGAACAATGGAAGCTACTGGTTCTTGCATGGCAGCATCAAGCACCCTGCACCACCCTGCACCATGGATAGCGACAGCACTGGTATGAGGCTACTTGCGACGGTCTCTGAACCCGGGCTACCGTTAACAAGCGATATCTGGGCACGGCATTTGCATTGACTTTTGGACTACCCGCACGTGGCCCACGGCGATACCGCAGGCAGTTTGTAATCGTTGCGCTGCCCCGGCGAATAGCCTACGAATCCAAACACCTGGATGGCGCACACGATGTCATGCCTAGAAACGCCAAACAGCGCACCAAGCCGATCGTCCATGTGGTCGTCGCGTGGCCGTCCGTCAGATGGGATCCAAAAGATCAGCGAGCGTTGACTGAGCCCCTTGCCTGTTTGCACCCATCTCAACGTTCCGCAGCTCCTAATTGCGTGCTGCGCGATCATCTAGTTGCGTTGCTGCGGCACAGCTCGAATGCATGCCAAAATACGCCCACCTGCGACAGGGCTCCCTAGCTTGTTGTAAGCAGCCGTCAGCATCAGGAACGTGCTCTCTCGTCTCCTCGCAAACATGGTAGAAGAGAGATTGGCCAACCACGCCGCAATGAAACATGGTATCAATACCGCGTACCGTCATCTCAACACATGCAACATGCCTTCTGGCAGTATACGAAAGGTAAGTTCCAACACACAGTGATTGCTTTTTTCATCCTCAGTTACGCGAGAGCATCTAGAATCAGGGTCTTGTTATCGCTTGACATATATGTCTGCATTACCAAATGCGGACATCGGCTATGCGCGTCTAACAAACTATCGAAACGCATCGTCTAAGCGCAGACGTTCAGTCTCGCTACCGATGGGTCATGGTCGCTGACTTGCGCATCATACTCCGGCCATGTATTAACATGAATGTGCTCAAAGTCTGCCCTGCTCTTCTTAGCCAAGGATGGCGAGACGAACATGTGGTCCAGTTCCTGAGCGTTCATGTCGAAGAGGTAGGTGTAACGCTCGAGCTCGTCCTCGCGGACTACCTCGTCTAGATCCTTGAGCCCTGAGATCTTGGTGTACTCTTCGAGAGGTTGTACGAAGGCAAACTCGTTAAAGTCCCCTGCAGTCACGACACGGGCGTTCTTGTCCTTGGAAAGGATATCCTGCAATTCAACGTCAGCCGTGCTCTCGTCTACACTCCAACTTCATAGCTTTAGGGGCAGGAAAGGGCATTCCCTTCGTGCGAACGTGGCGTTCTTGGTACCACCGAGGGACGAAGGTACGAGAAGCGTGCTGCAGCCACCCCTCTCCGCGCCGCCTTGCCGCATAGAGCCGCAACCGACATATCAACGTACCTTGACGAAATTTGCGGTGAGACGCGCCTGCTCGAGACGATCATCTAGAAGCATATCGTTAACAACTGTTGCACGAATCTACTCAGATTGATGAACTCACCTACGCCACCATTGACTGGTGGTCGAGCATCTCCATGCAAGCTGCTTGATCCTCCCTTTGAGCCAAAGTGCACATTGACCGTGAAGAACACGTTCGGCTTCTTCGCGCCGGCCTTTCCGATAACCTCCCACTGCGCAGCCAACGGCTTTCGGCTCGCTGTCCAGGCGTCATTTGCCGGCTCGATACGTCCAGGGTTGTACTTCAATGTCGGGCCAGCAACCACCTCGTTGGCATCGAGCGGACCGCCCGGGTTGGGCTTGTAGAGGCGAATCAGGTTCGGCTTGTACAGGTAGGCGACGCGGATGTTACCACCTGGCTGGCCACCGTCTTGATCGTCAACAGGCACAATATCGGTGAATGTGTAGTTTGGGCCACCGGCTGCTGAGATGGCAGCTGTGAGTGTGCTGAGGGTAAGGTTTGCGGATACGACTAGACATGTCAGACGATTCTGTTCAACGCGGGCGACGCGGGAGAGGAGTGCGGCTCGTATGCGCCCCGTCGCCGGGTACGACATTCGGTCAAGGAAAACGGGAACGCTGTGAAAGCTCTCTGTAGCACTTACCTGCATCGTTGGTGGGACCATTGTCGTCCTGTACCTCCTGAATGAAGAGAATATCTGGGCTCTTCATGTAGTTCACGATATGGTTGGCAAGATCAGGGTGGTGGTCAGATGTCGGCGCGAGGTTTTCAACGTTGTAGTCGCCAAAGGTAATGCCATCGCACTTGCCGCTCGACACAAGCTTGGTCGCCGGAGGAAGAGCAGGCGTCTGGCTCTTAGTGACCTTGATAGCGGTAGTTGGAAGGATGCGGTAGAAGCCAAAAGCGTAGCTGACGATACCAGTAATTTCCTCGACTGAATCGCCCATCTTGGTGCCAGTGGGGTTCTTGGTTCCATCGAGAGGAGATCCGATAACGATGGCCTCTGGGTTGGCGTCCTTGTCGGTCAAGGTCAATCCACCACGTTCATTGCGACCAGAAACCTTCCAGTCTCCAGCTACCCAGGTGTCGCCGTACTGATTTGGCTTGGTGAGCGCAGTAGGCTTCTTGACAGTGACCAGTTCACCGGTCAAGCTCTCCCAGAAATCGAGACCGTACTTCTTGGGCTGCAGCTCCGGGTTCGCAACGCTGATCTGTGAGACGTTATTCGGCACGGCGAAAACATCTCCGCCATCCAGACTGCTGTATTGCTCGTTTGGAGGGTCGCGTGTGTCCTTTCCAATGACCAGCGGCTTCACAGCGGCACCAGAGCCGAGACGCCCCTGTAATACTGGTGTCGAGAGCTGGGTCAGGTAGATGTAGTCCTTGTTCGAGCGGTACTCGACCACCTTTCCTCCCACAACAACAGTATCGCCAACCGTCAAGTTCGCACCAAACGTGCGACCAAAGACGTATACGGACTCGGATGTCCGCTCGTCGCGGTCAGGCTGTGTCGATCGCAACCAAAGACCATCGGGCCCCTTCGCCGTAACAACACCAGTAACGTTCGAAACCGTCTGATCTCTGTACGGCGAGAGAAACTTATTCCCATTAATCTCCGCAATCGTCAGCGCAGTAGAAACCGCCACCGAAGCCGAAAGGGCGAGAAGTCGCGTCAAAGTCGCCATAACGAACGGTAAAAAACGAAGGTATGAACCGGAATAGCGTTTTCCAGAATTGAGGCTCGGGCCCTATCTTCTTATAATCCGCATTGCCATCATGCTACCAAGTCGAAAAGCGCGTTCCAAGAACCCGGTCCCGCTGCTGTCTATCAATGACGATCGCGCTACACTCCACTTGACCTGTTCCTGACATTTATCGCCGCTGGCCGTCCGACCCATCCGTTACTAAACACCTCCCCACCTCACGTTCGACTAACTCATATTCGCGACTTGCCTATCACAGCCAGCGAACAACATGCCACCGGTCATGCGCGAGCTCCGATAGTCCTTGGCAATACCACAGATTCTCTTGACATCTTGTGCATGTTTTCGACGCGTGCAGCGACGCGCGTGGTTTGGTTGGTCGGAGTGCAGCGCTGGACCCTGGTTTGGCGCGGGCCGAGGCTGTAGCTGCTTTGGGAAGGTGGGACGGTGATTGGTTCGAAAGCGGGAGGTTGGGGAGATTGAGCGGCGACATCCGTGGCGGAGGGCTGTCAATCAGGTGGGAGAGATAAGACACGTGTGGGGATGGCGCGATGGATGGTTTTCATGCGTGGTATAGGAGAAGCGGCTTGGGAGGTGTGGCGGTGGAGTACATTTGGGAAGCGGGTGGATGGATCGTGGATCTTGGATGAGGAGAGGATGGGGGCGAATGGGAGGGATGCACGTGGGCTGGGCACTGATCTGGACGGCCTGCGAACGGGAACGCATGTACGGCTTGTAAGTATATAACCTGGTTCGACGCGATTGTTACGTTATGTGAGGGTGCGCTACTCCTACTGCGTCTTAACAGCTCATTCAAGGAAAACGTTGATCATCCTAGAGCCTACGTGACCATGAAAACATGCCAAAATGGCGACTCAACGTCAATGTAGGCTCTAGGGTGTTCAGCGTTTTCCTTAATTGGGGTGTATTGATCTCAACAACAAAGTACACACGTATGGGGACGAGAGAAGAGAAGCAGCACACACAAAACCACAGTTATGCAGCATCAAGACTGCTGTTGAAGCCGAGCAGCTTTCCGAGCTTGATTGCGGTAATAATGATACCGATGCTCGCCCTCTTCTCACGACCTTACAATGCGCAATACCACGACCTCACTGCCTGCACCACACCTAATCCTTCCTATCAAGACAGCCCCGCCTAGCTTCCAAAGTGTTCCGTATACGCCTCATTGTCTGAACCCTCAGATCTCCTCCAATATTTCTCCCGTAATGACTCATCGTCACTCAGATGTTTCCTTTCGTTCAATCGTCGCTCATCCCTCTTCCTGCATGCCTCTGCAAGCGCTGCTTGCATCTGCGGGCTCGGTGTAGGACACACCGGTCGCGCTGTGTTTCCTGTTTGGTTGATCAGCGGGGTGGAATACTGGAGAAGATGTGTGAAGTATAGACACACCTATTTCAACATTGGTATCGCGGCTCTCAACTTGCGTGGAGTGGACGTTCCCGTCGCGTTCACTCCTGTTGGGTCGTTTGTTCGGGTTTGTTTCGCAATCGCTTGTAGCAGTCAATTCCTGGCTTGCCCGACGCTTCTTGCCAGTGTTCGCGACCAAAGACTCTGGCGAAAGGATTGCTTGCGGACCGATAGGCGCCTGCCTTGAAGCCGCAGGACGAATTATGGTGTGAGTTGCGTGATTGACGTCGGTGGGCCTTGAAGCTACAGAAGGCGGGTCTCGAGCCATCATGACGATAGGATGTGTCAAATGGCCTATATCGGTGGCTCTGTGGTGACTTCTTCCTCGTGAGGATTGACTACTCAGTGGCTTGTGTGATCTAGGTGATGGTTTTGATTGGCTCTTTCCTGGCATTCTCCATTGACCTGGTAGCACAGATTCAGTATGCTGGTTTGCAGGGCTGGGATGCACATCACTTACCTGGACTGAGTAATTGCAGATTCTCCTGGAATTTAACACTAAGCCGACGCAGATCCTTGGGCAGGGATTTCTCATCCGGTGGTGGTAAAGAGGTTTGCTCCTGGGAAAGACAGATGTCATCAGCCGGTGGTGAATCCAGTGGAGCGGCTGCAGAAGATGTTGGCGGATTTTCCGTGCGAGATTCCAAAGCGGCGTCGAATCGCCACGGCATATGTCTTCGTTCCATTTCACTGATCGCCTCCACAGCCCGAATGAGCTCGCTGTTGTTCTCTGTATGGGTCGCATGAGCCATCAGGCGACGACATAGATCCGAGACAGGCTTCTTCTTAGTCTTGTCGCCATCTTCAATCTCCAAGATGAGCTTTTGCGTTGCATGTAGAATGGCCTCAAGCAGGACATCAGCCAATAGTCGCGACGCCCGAATTTCCATAACGTGTTTCTCCAGAGCGGCGAGGCACTCGATCTCTGGTGAACCACAGTCTACGATTTCAAGGTATTCCCTTCGAACTCTGATTGCCTCGCGGGAAAATTGCTCCCCTTCCAGGTACTCCTCAAGCAAATAGGGATGCTTCACCCAGGTCTTTAGGGGAACCCCCGACATCGACCAAGGTTTAGGTACAACGAGCGGCTCAGAATCGTGAATCTTCTCATACGCGGTGCGATTGTCATAATCTCGTAGGTCTAGACAACGCTTCAAATCGCGAAGCTCTTGTGCGGCTATTTCCTGCTGCATATTGGCCTGGCGTTCCGCGGTGGCGGCATCAATCGCGTTCCAGGATGCTGGTTTGGAGAAAGGAGGACTGGGCGGAGGCTCTGGTGTAGCGTGGAGTTCTGAATTCTCCGATTCTGTTGAACTGCTGACATTTGTGGAATGAGCTGTCGCTTGGTGTGCGGCCAGTGCACCGGCGAGCGATAGAGGAAGGTCCATTGCGTATAGATCCGCGTTCGAGCCCTCAAAGTCAGAAGAAGGCATCTCGACATCATTGGTCATGTCGAGAGCGTGTATCGTGTTGATATGTGTACGGATACGGCCTGGGGGGTATGATGCGATTTCGGAGTCGAGATTGTGTTCGTAAGGCGAGTGAGGAAGACTAATGATCTTACGAGGTCAGTGAGCAAAGTGTCTCAGCGGGCGCTCACTTACTAATGCAACAGTGCTGTCGAAAAGATATCGATGTAAGAGTAAACAAGCCCATGCGTCGAAGGTGAAAGAGCTTGCGCGTTCAAGCTCCTGCTTAGGCGAAAATGAAGCAATCACGATGCGCGCGTGGAATGAAGTCCTTCGTACGCTACGTGGCAGGCGCAGTGGTAGACTGCGACGCGACGCCTTCACATGATGGTTTACCCTATTTTGCAATTCGTGTCGCATACCTAGAGTGCTGCATACGCACTATTGTATCTATGCAAACAGATGAGATACAAGACAATGTATACTTCTACTTACACCTGTTTGTGAAATGCGACATGATATGTAGCCACCCCTAGTGCCCTCGTGATGGCACTTGAAGCTCTAAACTTCTCCCAATTTCGCGATATCTTAGTAGCTCGGGACTGTGTAGTGTAATCGCCGCACTTCCATGCAGATGCCCGGGTGGGCAGTTGCGGGTGCACATGTGACATATTGACACAAGCAGAAGCTGCTTGCAACTTGCAACTTACAGTACACATACAATCACATGTTGATAACTATGCAGTTTTCAAGACGATTTATACGCCTACCCTAGATTATCTGTTGTAGAATGCGACACCAGTTGACGAATCATGCCCGGGTGACCACCGCTGGTGACACTACGCCCCAAAGGGATTAGCGCCCTTCCTCCGTTCAAGGCATCGTCACAACATTGGAAGCTGCTAAGGGAGTCACTTCAGCAATTACGAAACCGAAAGAGTAGAATAGAAAGCAAAAGGCTATAAATTATAAGAAGCTAAGAATACACGCCCAGGCATCCGCCTCCCCGTACAAGCGAGACAGCTTGCATCAGGAGAGTGAAAACGGAGGGTATATGCCCAAGTCGCTAGAAGAAGAAGAACAATAAGAAAGAGGATATCAGAAACAGACATGACAACATCAAGAATACCCATCCGAAAGTCCATCCCAGAAAAGCCGAGTCCAAAGTCCTATATGTCCGGTCCCAGATCCTGTTTTCCGTTGCCAAACCAAGAACATACAACTCCCCTAACCATACCTCATAGAACCGTAAGTAAACCTGCAAAAGCTGAAAGTGGTGAAAGATGTTTAGAAGGCAACACCAACAGCCCCCGGACTCATGACCATTGCACTTGCCCTACCGTTAAAACCGACGTCCTTGGCACTAATCTCCATGCCCTTGAGTAGATCAAAGTTGGGGCTCATGGGAGGCTTGACATTCATGATACCGCTCTTCCTTGTCGTCGCGCTCAAGAGGCCAGCTTCAGCAGCGATCTCTTTCTCCTTGACGAGCGTCAGAGGAGCAGGTACGCGGCGGAGTTTGCGGGGCGGGGAGCAAGTAGCGACGGTGGAGGCGAGAGAGTGAGATGTGGGCGTGGGTGAGGTAGAGCGGGTGGAGGCGTAAGACGTAGTAGAGAAGAGCGTTACGGTAGCTGTGCCGTTGCTTTCTTGGCTTTCTTGTCGGGTGTGTAGAGTGCGGGAGCCGGATGTTGAGGGGCGGGAGGTCGTGTTGGGGAGGGCAGGGTAGGGCGAGCATTGGTAGAAGGAGTCTGCTGTTTTTGGCGTCGCGGGTCGCGAGCTCGAGGCTAGGGTGGAGGTGGAACGCTTGAGCCAGGCTCCTAAGCGGGCGATGGGTGTTGTGGGTGTAGCGGGTGGTGGCGGCGTGATGGGGTTCGAGGTCAAGGGGCCGGTGTGAGCGAAGGATGGTGGGGAGAGTGTAAGACCCATTGTTGCTCGTCGGGGCGTGATAGCTTCTGGGGTGGTGGCGAGGGGCTTGAAGCCCAGAGGAGCTGAGAATGCAGAGCCAATGTCTGAGAGGGTCTCGGAACGGACGTGCATACGCATCGACGGCGCGATGTAAGGGACGTGGTGAGATGGAGAAGGCGGAGGGCGGTTGATGAGTGCGGGTGAGTGAGCATGCGAGCGGTAGGCGCTGGCACGGCGCTCCTCGATTATGGTGTTCAATTCGCGAATGGCGTCATCGACGTCGGTCTTCGTACGGCGAAGACTGCCAGGGCGAGAAGATGGTGCAGTGTTGGCACGATTGCGCGACGGCGATGGGAGACGTGAAAGCACACGAGCAGGCGATAAGGTACCGGACGTGCGCGATCGCTGGATGGTAGGCTTCTCAAGCATTTGATCAACGGCAATCGGCGAGTTCTCTGGCAAGTATGCAAGGGTGGGCGTGGCCATAGTACCCATGGTAGTTCCCGAGAGCCTCCTCTCGTGGGTGGCGGTGCTCTTCTGGCTCTGGACACTGCTCCTTCGCGAAGGCCCACCGACGGGTTTACGTTGGATGACGAATGATGAGGCGGAAGGGTTTGAAGATACAGAGCTCGTACGCGAGTCCCTTACGCGGACATGGGCTTCAGCAGGACGCTCCAGCTGCGATGGTAGGCTAGCCCAGGCATCCTCACCGTCGAAGTCAGGCAGTGGGGACAGATGGCCGCAACCGTTAGGAAGGTAGATTGATAGCTCAAGTGGACGGAAGCTACGACGGCGGCGAGTAGGCACGGAAGCATCATCTAGCATCGAAGGCATATCGTCAAGACCATCAAAGTGCCGAAAGTTAGTTGGGCGACTGATGCTAGGCCTTGAATGGGAGCGCCTTGGTCGCGCAAGGGTCGAGATGCTTGCACGAGACGAAGCACGTGTAGCGTACTCGCGACTGTTGGAAACCCATTGCGAGACATGGCGGCTCACCGACTGACTTGTCGATGGGCGTTGAAGTGTTGGCTCCGCGCAAGGTTGGGGTACGGGACGCGGTTGCTCGTAGCATATGCGCATATCAGTCTCCCCTATGCATCAAGACGTTAGCGTTATGTTGGATCAATCGGGATTGCCCTATGCGGCTCCAACATATTGGATGTCTGTTGGAGCATCGCCCGGGTATAGTCGTGCATCAAGCAGATTAAGGAGAGCGTAAGCGAGTGGCATGGTGCTTCTCAACAAGAACGTTGGAGTTGGGAACCAACGGACAGCAGACTGCTATGATCGAGGCAGGAATCTGTAGAGACGACCGCAGAAAAGAGAGCGCAAAGTGAAAAGACAGTTGTGAGGATGGAGAGTCGAAGAAGGGATCGAACTTACCAGCGGCCCTGAGCGCATTTCTCCCATCGTCCACAAAATCCTCTTTTGATGCACAGCATCCAAACTTGATGGCCAGCCATGGGGACCTGGGTTCCTTCTCTTGCATATTCCCGTAATTCATCTTCTTTTCACGCTGTAGACCAGTACAGCTAATAACCCATCATCAAAATGATCAAAAGCAGTCGAACAAGAAGCGTGACAGAGAATGTGGTGCCTGAAGCAGGCAAAAGCAAAGACTAACAGATACTAGAAGAGAGTAATAGAAGAAGGTTGGAGGAAAGGGTAAGGATGAGAGAGGGAAGGCTGACTGCGCGAACCATTCGGATAAAGTCGCAGCCTGTCGACGAATGTGTTGTCCTGCAACGGATGGTTCGCTTCTAGAATGCGCAAATCCTGGAGGTCTGGCCGTCAGGAACAGCGAACCACTCGCACTTCACAGGACGACAGTGGCTCGCATGTTATAGATGAGGCCTGTCCCTGATCATTCTGTACGCGCCCAATGGCAGCGCATCCCTACCATGGAGGTTGTCAACTTCACCAGCTAGCTCGTGTGGAGGCTTGCGCGCATTGAGGCGAAATGGTAGGGTGCCGGGTGTGATTGGCTAGGAAAATAGAGTAAGCGCTCAAGGCAGAGCGGAGACTCGCAGTAACGTGGACCAGTGACGAGGCAATAGCGCTTGCGGCTTGAAACTGCCAGAGGCCTTGTCGGCATGTGGCGCGCTGGGTCCCTTTTCGTTGGCAGGTCTGGCATCAGGGCTGTTACTCCATATCGCCATGTTCGAGCATGCGCACAGCTGTCGCGTCCTTGGGCAGATCACCGCGACATGGCGGGGATGCCTTGGAACACTGGCCTTTATCTGCGACGTTTGAAACATGCGCATCGCAACGAGCGTCATTGTTTGAGACGCGCACGAACGGATTTCCGATATATGAGGGTAGTGTTGAATTGATGGGTCCGTGATGCCTGGGTCTGGTGGAAGGTGCAAATCACGCGTGCGCCTGCCCCATCGGTTGCTGAGGCTCTCGCCAAGTCCGCTCCCGCACCGGCATGCATCCCAGGATGTGCGACAGCGAATCAGTCATCTACTCACGATTCCTGGTATAAACCTTCATGCTAGCGGGTAGTTTGCAATTGGTGAGATGCATAATTCATGAAACAAGCACGCAGAAATCAACAGTCAATTCATCCAATCATAGACAAGAAATGGAATTCAGAGGCTGCAGTGAGGAGAGTCTACCCATCTTCACCGGTGCCAGCGCATTGAGAGACTTGGGGGGCCTTACGAAAAAAGCTCGTCTCGTCCTGATTTGTATCCATTCCACAGAAGCGGAAGAGCAAATCTCCACCTCTATCCCGTTTGGGGTGAAGGTTTTGATCGGGCTTGGTTCATTGGCCGCATGATTTAGATGACAGCGGAAACGAATGCACAACGGACCGTACATTGCACTTGTCAGTCAGATGTATAGTAGATGAATTTCGCCGTAGTTATGCTAACTGAACAAGGATATCGCTGACATTCTAACGCCGCAGGAAAAAAATATCGCAAGGTGTAATATGTGGCATAAGCTTGGGTATAAAACAGATCGATGGCCCAAAGTCTGACAATGAGTGCCTCCTTGAGATCGGGATCGGGATCGCGTCATCAGTCGGCATTCCAAGCGTTGCGCTCTTCTCTGAAACTGCCGTAGGACGGACTGGGATGATCCTCGGCCTCTTCACTGGTCTTCTGGTTGCTGACATCGCGCGTTTCCCAGTGATTGGCCTCGCTAACAATGTGCGGCTTGATGTCGTGTTTCCGCTGTTCCTCTTCGCTTTGGTTTTCGGTAAACGGGTAGTTCAGGTTGTGCTCAGCTTCTGGATTCTGCGGCTCAGGCTCATCGGGGTTGAAGCCTTCTCGAACCTCTTCTTCTTCGCCTGGCTCGTATGTTTTACTACAATAATTGTTAGGTTCGTACTTTGAATCGATAACGGAGGGACAACCTACACAAAGTGCTTCGAAGGAACCTCATTCCATCCTGGACCACCTTCCTTACGCGCTCTGACACGGTCGACTTCTTCTGCCTGATGATCCTCGACGACGAGATCCACAAGCTGGCTCTTGTCCGATTTCGCTGAGCTGGACGAAGAAGACTTCTGGCGGAGAAGGTTGCCAAAGGGCGCACGCGACTTGGAATGTGAGGACTTTGAGCGGGATGACTCTCCAGTGCTCGACTGGTCGCGTTGTTTGCCCTTGTCTACAGATTCTTGTAGATCCTGAATTTGGCTCTTCCTCCTGCGCTTGTTTTCCTTGGTGGGTTGCAGTAGGTTTCGGTTGGTCGATGCGGTCAGAATGTTGGGATCGGCGTACATGCGGTCTTCACGAGATGGACGGTGGGCTTCGATGACGGGGTACTACAGCTAGGTTAGATAAGACACGATTGCAGATGGATGTATACTTACGTTCCAGTCTCCGAACTCCAGCGTACGTGCGTTATCATATAAGCGCTCTTCCTCGGCGTCCAGATTGGGCTCTTCGACCACGTCGGGTGTACCGTACTTGGCACCTTCGCCTTTGAGAGCCTTGTGCGGCCCTGGACTCATGGCTCTGGCGCGGCTCGATGTGACCTTGTTAAGGAGTGGTTCATGCTCCGATGCTTGTCCAGGCTTGGGGATCCAGTACTTGCCCTTGCCTCCTCGCTCGTATCTCATGCCTTCGGCCATGCGGGCAGCACGCGATGATGACTCCTCGTGTGCCAGCACGTTGTCGCGCGCATCGAAGTAGCGATATTCGTAGTGGTTGCCGGCAAAGGTTTCCTTGGTGTCTTGGATGAGATCCAGGGGACCGAAGGCGTCGCGCAGGGCATATTTGACGGGCAAGCGGGCGGCCGATATGGTATCGTCGGCGTAGTCGTGCCAAGAGAAGGCATACCAATGAGCCAGCGCAAACAGTGGCATCTCGAAACAGATGAGAGCATCCTGTACTGCAGCGGCAAGATTGTCAGGGCTGTAGCCAGGCACATCATCTGGAATGGCGCCCAGGAAGACGAGAATGGATAGGAAGAAGCCTTGCCAGTATGAGGCGAAGATGATGCCCTTAATGCACAAGAACTTGGGCATAGGCCGGAAGGGCTTGAGATCGGTAGACATGCACACCCAGAACATGGCAAGGGCATACAGACTGATGGTGATGCTGACGTTGTAGATCATGCCACTCCAGAAGTAGCCGGATGTCAAGCCTATGTAGCCTTCCTTGTATGTGCCTGTGGCCTTCATGATGATGGTAGCCACAGACAATAGCGGCTTGACCCATGTGTATTGCAGGATGCCGCGCTTGATGGCGAGGAAGGTATGCGGGTCGGATATGTCGATCTTGGAGCAGACGAGATTGAGAGGCCAAGGGTGGGAGACGGGTGCGCGACCGGTCATGAGAATGATGAGGGCGCGTTCGCCGCCGATGAAGTTGATAAGCAGCTGGAGGAAGGTGTAGATGGTGAAGGCCTCATAGACATCTCTGAAGGGCTCTACATAGGATGCAGCTATGGTCGACACCAAACTGGCCCACGATGCGCCTGCGTAGATAGGGACCCTTGATAACGTGAGCGATGACACACGACAGCTGGAGAGGGGGCTCACATGAGGAGGATACGGACGACATATCGCTGTAGCACCGGCTTGCGGTAGTTCTTCCTATGAATTGTTCAACACATGTATATCGGTAGGTGGAGGTGTTCCTCACGTCTGTAACCAGACAGCACTACAGCTACGTCAGTTCATGTCATGCAAGATGGAAGCTCTACTGCCTACACAAAAGTGACCAGACTCGCGACCAGGGCGCATACGCCGGCCACGATGATAATGGCACGTGCAAACCGGGCGCCGGTGCCGCCAGACGAGAAGTCGGCGGCCGTGAAGTCGGGTGGGAGGGTGCCTAGAGCCATGGTGAGGCGTGGGCCAGCGAGGGAACAGGAAAGAACTGGGGTCGCAGTCCTCGGTCGGTTGTTGCTAGAGGGACAGGCGGTGGTGTTAGCGATGGAAGGCAGCCATGGTGTGTGCTGTCGACTTGCGCCGGGCGTCGAGCGGGTGGTCTTGTGCACGTTTGCCCTCCACAGTGTGGTAGGTTTGCGGAGAGGCAGCACAGGCCCAAGCTCGCTTCCCTGCAACACGCCCATGACGCGCATCCTGCCAGCTGCCGGGCGCGCCTCGAACCTCAATCGGCCCTGGCCCAGTAGCGCCGTCGTCCCTAGGACATGCTCCAACATTTCCACGCCATTGTCGCCCTACCCGTCTCGAGGTATCAAGACCACGCGTGAACGCGCCATAGCGACCCGGGCGCTCTTTCCTCACTGCTCGTCCACAACAATGCGCGACTACCCCCTCGAGCCATGAAGACACTCACCCTCCTACACACAACGCGCTGCAGTCATGGCGGGAAGAATCGTTGCGGAGCCTCTGGACCCGCGCGACGGCTTCAACTGGGTCTTCCTGGTTGAGCTGCTCATCTGCGGCATCCTGACCATCTTCTTCCTCTTCTACTTCAACCGCCTCTTCGCCACGCTCGTCTCCTACGGCATACGCGCCTACACCTGGCGCACCTTCGACGCCTACATCGACATCACCTCGCTGCAGATCTCCTTACTGGGCGGTCGCATCTTCTTCAAGGACATACGGTACCATGGCCACAACGAGACGATACTGGTGCATGGCGGATACATCACCTGGAACTACTGGCTGCGCCGGGTCAAAGATGCAGGTGTATACACCGATGGCGACCCTGCCTCCGAGGCCGATAGCGAACGCACACCAAGCACCCCGAGGAGCCGTTCTGGAAGTCGGAGCGGGAATCTAGACAAGGCCGAGAAGGGAGGCAAGCAGACGCGGAAGGAGCTACCATGTCGCTTCTCCATCAAGATTTCAGGAATCGAAGCCTTCATGTACAACCGGAGCCCCGCATACGACGGTATCATTGATGCAGTTGAGAAGAAGGCAAAGGCCGCTGCACAGGATGCGAAATCGCCCGAAGGGTCAGTGGCGGACTATGAAAAGACGGAGAAGGAAGAGCAACACCACCATGTCAAGCTAAGGAAGCCACACAACACCGACAACGACAAGAACGTCAAACGAGCCGA